TCAGCTGCGATCGCTACGCGGCGATATTGTATCCCTTGAGGTACTCAGCCATCGTCACCAAAAAGCGCGTCAGCCGTGCGTTGTTTGCAGCTTGGTTTGCCCCGGTGTTATCTATTACGGTCTCAAATTGGACTCATGGCAATTCCAGTCGTTCTGACTACTGGAGAAGCATTATTGGCTGTTCGCAGAATTTTGATAAGCCTTCCTTGGAACATACCTGTCATATTGCGTTCAATATTACCTTCTTCGTTGGTATCCCTTTTGCAGTGATTTTATTCGTGTACGGTCGTCTGGCTAAGATCTCGTGGTCTCAGAACAACAGAGTCGAACCCGGTGAAAACCTGAATCTCGAAGCGGCTGAAATGAAGAGGAAAAAGAAAAAAGAAATGAAGTGGATGCGAACCATAGGTAAGATGCTCGAAGCGCTTTATAATCTGCGTAAGTTGTGGCCAGTTGATCTGAGGGGACTGCGTCTAGATAACACATTCAAGCAAAATTGTTTTTAGCATAAGATTCAAGTATAACAGTTATTAGTACCACACATATAGACCTCGTGCCAAAAGTACACACTGTTTCAGGTTTCCAGTCGAGAAAACACCTCATTTAAGACGCTTAATAGTGAACCTACATTTCTCGTTTAAGACTAAAAACCTTGGAAACCATGCTCTGCGCTAGGTCCGCTATGGAAGTCAAACGTGCGTGAGGGATGGCTTGCAAATCGAGAAGGAAGCGCTGATGCTAAAGCAACCATCGGCGAAGATACACCCCTAAACAAACGCCTTTCACGTCGCACGTGTCTCTTCACGTGCACCCGCCTTGCCGTTGCCTCATGAGCCCAAGTTTTGCGTGATGCCTGTTTCATGTCTGGGAGGTTGAAGAATCTAAAAACATATTAAGTCCGGGCTCAGCTTTGTCACTCACAGGGAGGGGCCCTTTTTCTGCTCACCCAAGAGTTTCCCTCGACTTCGAGGGATATGAAAAATACAATAACGCCGTTTGATTTGTTTCATTTTTTTTCAGCGATGGTAGTTGGTGCATTTGCATTCTGCTATCTCCCGGGATTCATTTGTTTGTTAATCACAGCAACAATTGGTCCCAGTCGAGTTCCCAACGCAGTTATGTCGGCCGTTGTTGTGGTGGTTGTCATCAACAGCGCTCTGAACCCGATTATCTACATGATCAGATCCAACGAATTTCAACGTGGTTTCAAGAGAATTTTCCAATTTCCCTCGCTCACACGCAACACTACTCTCAACACAACCTCCATTCACGCTGGTGGGAACCGACGAGATCTATCAACGCTTGTGGTACACGATGACCCGCCATCTGTCCTAGGTTTTCAATGGAATCATGCAACTTTTACCAAGACTCGAAGACCAGTATTACCGTAGTTAACTGTGTCTTTCTCTTTTGGGAGACGCAGTATGGCTAACGGTCAATCGTGCTGAACTCCAGGTCTTGAGGCTGGGGTTCGTGCCCAGGCCGGGTCGTTTTGCTTCGTTCTTAATAAGAAACTTTACTCCTTCAATGCATCTCTCCCACCTCTCTTTGCCCAGGCTCACCCAGGAAGGTAAATACAGGCGGAGGAGTTACTTGCAATCGTATAAAATACTATTGAGTAGGATTAGATATACTCATTGTAGCTAAATGTGGGAGACCCCCGCTCGCCTTAAGGTCAGCCTATTGCGCTGGACTCTGGGTCGAGAATCTGGGTTCGAGACCTGGCCGGGTTAATGTGTTGTGTTCTGGGGCGAAACACTTCACTCTCACGGCGTCTCTCTCCACCCAGGAGTATGAATGGGTAGCGGCAAAGTGTCAGGGAAGCCTCATGAAACCTTGTGGCATCCAAACCAGGGGGGAGTAGCAGCAGTAATACTTCTAGTCGTTTAATGCTATGGAAACTTGGACGAGCTCCGGCTGGAAAGATCACTTGGCTCGTGTATAGACTTTTATTGTAACTAACTGCTACACAAACCTTCACTGAGACTCAGGATTAGTCTATCATTGTACCTTCATGGGATCTCCGAAAACGAGAGCGCACCATGATCCCTTAAACATTTTTTGATCAAGTGGATTGAGGAATAATGATAAAGAAGTCCGCCAACTGAAGTAGCTCAGTATAAGTTTGAACTGTAATGTTCACTTTTCCTAAGAAGAGATTGAAAAATAAATATTGACTGAACTTGCCAAGAGAGAGCCTTGTGAAACATGCACAGTGGTTGTTAGCCACTTCATTACGACTGGTTTTGTTCTATCATATTTAACAGCCGCGGTATGGACGGTAACTTGTCTGATTAAAAGGAACTGCAAAGTTAATTTAAGTAATAAAGAGGGTTAGTTTCTAACGAAATTGTGGTGCTCCGTCGGTAGGGGGTGATACAAGATAATTTGGTTTTATCCACTGAGTTGCTAATGTAAATTGGCCACCGCAGAGGTTTTATAAAGCTGACGTTTCGAGCGTTAGTTCTTCGTCAGAGAGAAAGAAAAATTTAAAGTAAGATTACTGCATAATTGAGTTGGTTAATTTGGAAGCGTAGCCAATAGGTCCCATATAAACAAAAGACAAACTGATCAGATACCAGGCTGGTCTAATGGCTGAACATATATCTGATAGCTGAAGCCTTATAGTTAGGTGACTGAGATAAACTCTTGGCTTGAAAGCACAGCGAAAGTTTCCCCTTTTCCCGCTAAACAAGTCAGCCATTTTACTGGGTTCATGAGAAGACGCCCTAAGTTGAATTGAGGTAGCAAAAACTGGTCCTCGCGACAACGAGGATATTTTAAAAAAGAAATGAAAAGGTTCTTACTCTTGTATCTGAGTTTCAAACCGAGCATGCTGTTTTTTGCCACAAGAAGTGGTAAGAATTTTATGACGCTTTTTCTTAACCGTGTCTTGTTCGTGTGTACCTCCTCCCTCTCTTCTCAACCTTGGGGGGGAGGGGGGGGGG